CTCTTCGATGGCGACCGATCTTTATACTAAATGAATTATCATATCTCTTTTTACACATACAATAATGGTCTATTTTAATTTAACACGATCGAGTGGTGTGACTCTACACTACAGAGATCGCGTCGGTCCAAATTAGCCTGCAACTAATTTTTTTATTATTTTATTATTATATTTCCTTTATATATATATAAAAAGAAACCCTAATTTTTCTAAAGGCTACGTTTTATTGTCTTGCCCACAATACGACACCTCTCGATGGATCGAGCAAAAGCCACGCCTTGCATGCGCTGCCCCAACCGATTCTTCAAACTATTTATTTATAACCTTTTCATTTTGTTTCCGACGTGGAATTAAATGTTATAAGATTGTTTATTTTTATTTTTTTCTGTTGTTGTTGTGTGGTTAATTAATGGTTAGTTACGTTATAGCTGAAACTAACCTTTTCAGAGGACTCATTTGGTTTTTAATTAAGATGCAATTATAAACAGACACACTCCACACTCCACAGAGAGAGTTTAGCCTTGGCATTTGCAAAGAGGCCGGGAAGACTCTCTAGTGGGATAAGAGGGGTTGTATTGTAGGAGATGGACTAAAAGAAAGGAGCGCGAGTGGGCAGTTTTAAACAACTACTATAGACTTAATAATTTAGTGGAATAGTCTGTTTTTGATCAGAGAGTATACAATTACAGAGAGTGGTCCTTACCCTAAACCCCATCTTTTCTTCTTTCATTACCATATGCTAATATATATCTCTCTCTAGCTTAGCTATATACACACACCTACTCTCCATCATTCTCATAAGCTAATTTGGTACATTAAACTATAGTAATTAGTACCGTACCCATAAAGTGGCTTTTGCGGGAAATCATACTTTAATCCCACAAAAACAACGACTAACTAGCTACTTGGATCGTTATTTCTGTGGGTCAATTCACACGATCAGTATGACATAAATTAACGTACAAATTTGGGAGGTCAGAAACGATCTTATCACCAGTGAAAGGTTGATCATTTGTTTTGTGATTATATGGGACTATTTTTAAAAATAATTTGGTTGTATCATTTGACTGTGACTTATTTTGTTAACAACGTGTTTTGGCTTTAAAAGCAATGACTAATGAGAAGTACATATTATATTATTGGCTTTGAAAGAAGAAACAAAACAATGGATTGTGGGTGTTTTAATAGTTATATATGATGTTAATCAAACAAAACACATTCATCAAATTATACCGACAGAATTCTGTTTTTTTTTTTTTAACGTGAGCATTGTAAGTTTGTAACGATAAGAATATACTTGGTAACATATATAGCTAATAAAATTATTAACCCGATTCGCTATGCATTGAACTTTTATCTACTCGACGACTCAAGCTATATATATTGATATATAGCAAAATAAACAAAACAACCACACGCTCCGTTAACCATTTTAGATATTATTATATTTAGATCATCGAACATAGATTATTTGTAAGGTAAGTTGATGCATTTTTATTGTTCGACTTGAAGTTAAAAGTTAAAAATACTTTTGATAGATAGGAATTGAATAGTGAGATGCATAGGAATAGAGAGGTCCCGTGGCTAATATAGGGCATAGCTTTGAAAAGGACGACGCTGTGGTTTCCTCGTAGTTTCTTTGATAATTTTTGTATTATTCCTTCTCTCTCTACACGAAATTAAAGTAAGTAATACTATAGAGATGACCATATATGCATATGTAAATGTTGGAAAAAATTAGAAAATATCGAGTTGGAGAACAAAAAGAATAGTGTGGTCATTTATATAAAGAAAGATTTTGATCGTATTGCCTTTTGTTGTGCTTCGCTATTTTTTGCAAATTTTGGGGGAAAAGAGATTGCATCCTTCACATTTATTTTGCTGATATTTATTATCCAGCCTAATTCGATATACAGGCTTCATTTTTAATAAGATGCGCGTGGGAGACATAACGCATTGTTTGAAATTTTACAAAGAAAAGAAGATAAGCCATGCAATGATTATGAATAACAGTCATTTATATACTTCAAATACAGTTTGATACAATTAGATCTGTATTATTAATAATTATAATTTTGACTAAAAATGCAAAATATATAAGATTCGTATCAATAACGATGAAACAGAAGAAAACAATGCATTGTCTAGTGAGGCTTTTGTGTCCAACCAATTATATATGTACTGAGGATGAGAAATTGGACCACGTTTATCGATGTTCCTTTTACCTACTGCTTGTTTTTTTTTTTTTTTTTTTCGTTTTCTTCTAATCGAGTTCTCTTAATTACGCCAACTTAATTAATATAAGCTCAGCCGTCAATATAAAAAATATATATAGACTGATGGTAAAAGAAGAAGAAGAAGGTTTTAAGTAGTAATCGGCTAGCTAATAATTAACGTCGATCGATTAACATGAAAACACAACCACATGATGACTAGTACATTTCTGTTTTAATAAAGTTATAAGCTTTAATCATTAACCAGCCATTCATTACATTTAAACCAAAAATTGGATAAAGGAACGTACGTGAAGGTTGCTTAGTCTCTTTCAGGACCACGTACGTACACATGTTTTAAGATTAACATTGACTATACGTGAAAACAATTAATTTATTAGTTGTTAAGGGTTTGCCAGGGTTCAAGTGTTACGTGTCATGCTCGAGAGCAACATATGTAACGTTACTATACGTATAAATGTATAATAACATCGTTACATGAATAAAACCAAAAACAAAAACATATGCGCTGGTGTTAGTACGATGCGCTGGAGCAAACAAATGTATCGATTTTCGTTTTATGTGAAAAGTTATACTATATATCTTCTTGAGCCATAAACTTTCAGATTCTTTGGCCTGTCCAAGAACAAGACCATGTCTATTTTTCTTATTTTATTCGATTGATAAAACTTTTTATCATAAAAGAGGTTCCTATACATTTTGTTTTCTCTCTCATGGTGGAGTTTTGTGACATTACAAGCGAGAGCATATATCATATATGACGAGTAGTAGTAAAAAAAAAAACAAAAAAAAAAAACACTACATTAATGATGCAATTCTACAAAAGCATGATTTCTAATTTAAGCTTTAGTTAACTGTATTTCATTTTTAGTTAGTCGAAAATTAAGTACCATTTCCTTGTATTAACAGTACAATAATGCTTCGATTGCCAACAAAATATGCAGATTTATTTTCTAGGTTTTTATTATATTCTCAATCTGTTCCACTTTGATAAATTCAAATAAGAGCGATAATACGTACTGATCAGCAATATACAAATTACCGAGTGGCTTCTTCTTCTTTTTTTTTTTCTGGTTGAGTTTAAAGGTTGGTTATATATATTCTGTAACCTATTATAAACTTAACAGACTATTGTTAGTTGTTTAAATGACAGTTACATATAAATGAGGCATAAAGAGGAATTAAAGATATATATATATGAATGTGTATAATCAAAGAGATAAGAGTAGATGAAAAGAGGGTACACGAACACGAGTGTGTCGGCTTAACCTTGAAAATCCATAACCTGATTGACTTTAGAACCACGTATATAAGTTGAATTGAGTTGTTAGTCATATACTCCTATATGTAGAGTATAGTATTTATTTAGCGATTATGAATATATATCTAGATCTAGATTTCGCCTGACCAGTTCTTTTAAAGAAAAAGTAATTAGCCAACCAAACATAATAAGAAGATGGAGATTGATAGGTAATCTGATCATGATATTGCGAAGATGCAATTAATAACCAAAAAAAATATGATATATTATCAATCAGTCCTTGAAGAAAATTTGACTAATCGACTTTTTATATCTTATCAACCTATCATTTAAATTCATACTAAATGATAAGTAGATCAATTTAAGAATTCTTCAAAATATATACTTTATCTGTTTAATAGGCAAAAAAAAAAAAAACAATTTAAAACAAATTAATTTTTTAGGTTTAACAATCACGTTCCATTCAATTCGAGATAGACATGAAAACTTATATCATGCCCTTTTTACAAATGTGTTCATAATTTTATAACAAAATAAGGAATAAAAGTAACATATATATACTATTTTTGAATTAGAAACTCATGATTGTTTAACAACTCACATACTTTTATTTTTATACAATTTTTAGTTTCGTCTAAAAAATTAATGGTTTTGATGTTTTATATGTAATGCAACGTAGCAACGAGAGTACACAAAAGTAGCAAGTGAAAAAAACACACAAAATAAAGAGGTCATTGGAAATACAAAAAAAAGGACAGGTAAGAGGTATGAATGTTTGTGATTAATATAAAAAGCATCTCTAACAAGTGGGGAAAAGTATATAACAACTGTTGCAATAATTAGTAAAACATATCACAACACTCAAACAGCAGACAATATTGTTTTTACATGTACGTATCAGTCAGTGTATAATTGTATAAACTATAAACCAATAACCATAGCAAAAAGTCAACAGTAAAGACCAAGACTAGCAAAATGCCAATTTTGTCTTTGTGAAACCAAAATTGCAGCAAACCCATATTTATATATATATAGAAAAGCTTACCTTACCTTTCGATAATTAGCATTTGTTAGGAAGAAATTATGGATAATTATTAATCATTTGATTTGTGTATGAGATTTAAGATTCTATATGCAAAACAAAAACAAAACAAAATCTCCCTAAGCACACGACATTATCATCTCTCTTCTCCTCATATCCCAACCATCAACTACTACGTTGTTGGCAAGCATTTTGTTTTCGATTCTCAAGCATGTATAGTTGGCAAATGAATAGTAGTAATATTTTGTTTGTGTGGGGGGGATATTTATTAAAAGAAATATATAGCATAATATATGTTAAGGGTGGAAAACAAAAAAGAAACTAGCTAGGATTAGGATGGTGGTGGTAAGAAGGACAATAAGGTCACATGAACTGAATCAGATTTATTCATGGGGTCCCTCTAAATTGGTTCTACATTGCCCATATCTCCATCATTCTCATCATTAACAATATAACACTCAAGTTTTCTTTCTTCTTATTTCTCTCATTCTTCTCCTAAAACTCTTGGGACTCCCTTTCTTTTTTCCCTTTCCCTCAACTTCAAAGAGCTATATCTATTGCTTGAAACAGTAAGAGGTATATAGAGATAGAGAAGAGAAGAGAGATAGGTGTGGTGTTCATGATGATCAGTGAAAGTTAGGCTAAACCCACTTTCTATTTATGTATAATTAGGTCAATCACATCACCAATCTAACTTCTTTCCTCCTCCAATTCTCCTCCTCTCCTTCCAATTTTTAGGGTTTTGCTTCTCTTTTCTCAATTCCAAAGTCATCACCCCTCAAGAAGCTGTGAATTCATCTTTCATTATTCCCATTTCTTGGAGAGATCTGAATTCCAAAGATGATGACGGATTTGTCTCTCTCAAGAGATGGAGAGGAAGAAGAAGAAGAAGATGTGGAGAAGAAGCCTTCACAAGAAGAAGAAGAAGAAGCAGGAGCTAGAGAAGTGGCAGAGAGAGAGCACATGTTCGACAAAGTGGTGACTCCAAGTGATGTTGGGAAACTAAACAGACTCGTGATCCCAAAGCAACACGCAGAGAGATTCTTCCCTCTAGATTCATCCTCAAACGAGAAAGGTTTGCTTTTAAACTTTGAAGATCTCACAGGAAAATCTTGGAGGTTCCGTTACTCTTACTGGAACAGTAGTCAAAGCTATGTCATGACCAAAGGTTGGAGCAGATTCGTTAAAGACAAAAAGCTTGACGCCGGAGATATTGTCTCTTTCCAAAGATGTGTCGGAGACTCAGGAAGAGATAGTCGTTTGTTTATTGATTGGAGGAGACGACCTAAAGTCCCTGACCATCCTCACTTCTCCGCCGGAGCTATGTTCCCTAGGTTTTACAGTTTCCCTTCTACGAGTTACAACCTCTATAACCATCAGCAGCTGCAACGTCATCATCACGGCGGTGGTTATAACTATCATCAGATTCCGAGAGAGTTTGGCTATGGCTATTTCGTTAGGTCAGTGGACCAGAGGATGAATAATTCTGCGGCGGTGGTGGCTGATCCGTTAGTGATCGAGTCTGTGCCGGTGATGCTTAACGGAGGAGCTAGTCAGGGGCTTGTTGGAACTGCCGGGAAGAGACTGAGGCTTTTCGGAGTTGATATGGAATGTGGCGAGAGTGGAATCACCAACAGCACGGAGGAGGAATCCTCATCTTCCGGTGGGAGTTTGCCACGTGGCGGCGGCGGTGCTTCTTCATCTTCCTCTTTGTTTCAGCTGAGACTTGGAAGCCACAGTGAAGATGATCACTTGATCTCTAAGAAAGGAAAGTCCTCGTTGTCTTTTGATTTGGATCAATAATGATGATTATGATATTAGTTGGTATTTTATATATAAAAATTACACATAATTCTATATATATATATATATATATATATATATATATATATATGTGTGTGTGAAAATATAATGCATTGATTTCATTATAAATTTATTGGAGAATTGATATGTTCTAATAATATGCATGGTCTATAGTGAAATTTTATGGATTAATCGAATAGTCCTTTGTCAAGTGTTCTGGAAAATACTGATTTTGTGCATTATAGACAGTGGATAAAGTAATTCTATGGCATTTGTAAGTCTCTTTTATTGTTTCTTCATTTCTCCCTCAATTATATATCAAAGAATCAAATTATTATTTACATTTGGCAAAACAGATCATAGGGTAAGTAGTAAGATTGTAAGTCTGTATAGAGTAGGAAAAATTGGGTACAAATAAGTGAGATATTATAACAAGAGACATGAACTAGGATTGGGATCAGTGTAAACCCATGTCTCTCTTGTATGTCTCTGTGGTCTGAAAGTTTTCAGAGTTTGATGGGCTGTCTTAGAAAAGTGAATTGTCTATACCATACAGGCATATATATGTGTGTGTTGCATTTTGTATTTATATGTAGCATTAATAATTGTCCCTGCAATTAATTTGGTGATGGGTTTCTATGTTTGGTTACTAAATATGGCTGCTGCTGCTGCTTTTTTCTGAAGCTATTGCTGGATATTAGTTAGGCAGAGTTTGCAGGAGATGGGCAGTGACAAAACAATAATTTTAAAAATCTTGTTTCTTTATTTATATCACTGTGATGTCTATATTAGCAAAAAGAGAAGAGCTTCTTTCTTCTTCTTCTTCTTCTTCTTTTTTCTTCTGTTCATCTTGGGGCGATTGAAAAAGGTATCATCTGTTTTCACATATATTATCTGATGCATTTTAGTTATTTTATGAGACCCCGTATGAACAACAAAAGCTAAAGGCTACAAAAATCAAGAACTTGTTTTAAAAAATATATATTTTGTGTTCAGTTATGCTTTTTATTTTGGGTTTCTCTTTGGTCTCTTGGTCTGAACTCTGAAGTATTACACAACACATACAGTACATTGCAGAGACACATTTAATGTAAAATATATAGTATGTTTATACACATACGTTAAATGTAATGCTATATAGGTGATATGCAATTGCATCTAGTATATATGATTTATCACATGTGTGGTACGTGTACCTTATTGCTAGCATCTAATTATATGTACTTATCACCTATATCATGATGATGTATGGTGTTGTACGTCATAAACTTCTAAACGCATACATTCATTCTAAATTTCAAACTTTAGATATTTAGGGTTTCATATATAGTACAGCTAACTCCTCAACTTATACTAGCTAGAGGTTTGCAAAAGGGTATTGGTGATGCATGTGTCCCATATATACTTTTGTGTAAGTCGTAATATGGTCCATCAAAGATATTTCGTCATGAAATTTCTCTAATTCTTTAGATTAGTAGTCTAGCCAGATGAAAGTTTGAAGGTACGTAAATCAATGCTTGATATATATATATATATATATATTGTATGATATAAATTAAATTGGATCAAATTTTGTAATGCCTCTATACTGTATTTAATTAATGTGGTGGATTATATAAACTGTGAGGAGAAGATTACATCAAATGTCGAGAGATCGATGTGAATGAAAATGATCTGAAACCCGAGTCACCTAGTTGGAGGAGAATTTGGGATTTTCTCGACTCTGTTGGTTACAGAAACAAAAACAAAAAACAACATATGTACAGTATTTGATTGAAATTCTCGAACTTCTCTGCGTTTCAACGAGTGAAATTGCTTTCAACCTACTATTTCTTCCAATATTTCTTACTCAGTCCCTATATTATAAATTAGTTATATTTATCTCCCAAGATGATCAAATTTACACAAGCGTGCAAAATTGACTTATGTTAGTTAAAATATCAACTGTATAGACCCATGTTTTAAAAATCGCTAGGCTCGAGTCGGGCGGTCAAGGTGGGCTTAACGCTAGCATGATAATCGAGGATTAATCAAGAATTAGTTTTAGAGTTATTTTATTACATAAATATATGATATTAATTATATGTATATGTTAATGAAAAAACACAATATAACATACAAAATTATAATATTGGTTTCAAAATGGTATTAATTATATGAAAACATAAAACTAAATTTAAATGTTTAATAACCGATAAAAAGAGTTAGACGGAGATTAGTCGTTAATCGAAGCGGATAGGATGGGCCTAACAATTATACGAAGAGTAATTAAATCTAGGCAGAGATTTTTTAAATTTTTTTTAAAGGGATGTAGCAGAGAAGAAAACCATAACTAAGTTCTTCTTTATTATTCTAAGAAAAAAAAAAAGTAAAATCATTAGAAAAAAAACAAAACCTATCACTCTACAAAGCTCCGGTCATTGATTTAGTGCTGTGGTATAGTAGGGCAATAAAACCCAATATTTATATCATCCGCTGCAATAAAACAAAATTAAAATTAAGATGAGAACAAAAAAACTCCAAATATCTCTACTATATAGATCTGATCATGAGATATACTTACTAGTGTTCTTGGACCAGAGAAGTTGAGTATCAATCAAAGAATGATTCTCATCATCGAGCCGTTTCCAAGTTTTGATTGTATCAACGGCTCCCCAATGTCCATACTTACTCTTCTCAAGCTGAGCTTCGACCACCCTTGCTCTCCTAGCCCAACCAACCTTTCCATACCCATGATACCTAAAAACAGAGATCCAGAAGCGTGTTTTATAAGGAAGGGTTTATTTAATTACAAGTGAGTTATAATAGCGTGTGGTACAAGTTAGTTACCCGGCACCGCCAGCGTAACAGAGGTTGATTCCATGGAGTTGAGCACAGAAGTCGTTGACGTGGTCGTGACCGCTGAAAACACCTTTGACTTCGCCTCTTTCAACAAGTTTTGTGAAGAAACCAGAGTTGATAGGTGGAGCACATGTAGGTTCTTGTCTCACTCCAGTCATCTCCGTCGATTTGTTGAACAACGAAAACTCCGGCATGGGAATGTGGAGGTAAACCAGCCCCGGCGCAGTACCATTCTGGGGGAATGGCCACCTCTTGTGTTCCATCTCGAGCCATTTAGAAGTGTGTTCATACCAATTCTGCTGAGAGGTTTTGACCCAGTCGTATTTGTAAATAAATCCCTTGAGATCCGTGTAAGCTCCACCGTCGAGTAGATAAAGATTGAGAATGGATTTGAAGAAGAGAGGAGAGCCAAAAGGACCCTCGATTTGTAGATTGTAATTCCCGAAACCATCGATTTGGTATAGCCAAGCATCGGGAGGGTTTACTTGAGACAACGAGTTTGGGAGTTTGACTATGTATTTCATAAGTGATTCTCTTGTCATGTCGGATTCTTGGTCGTGATTCCCCAATATGGCCACCCATGGAATCCCCGACTCGATCGCTGGAGCGAATGCCCTATCCATCGATTTTGCCACGCCGCTTGTCTCGCACAGTCCATACACATTGTCTCCTGCGTATTGAAATCAAAACAGCATTATTATAAGTTCTCGTTTTAGTTAGTTTTTTCTCCCACGCATATTAAGAAACAGATTCAAAGTTATATATACTTCATTCGAGAATATTTTACAACATGGATTAACCCTAAAATAGTGTTACACAATATCAAATTTGTACCGGAGAAGACGATGAGATCGGGCTTCTCGGAGGCGATAGTTCTCTGTAAAAAGGCGGTGGTGTTGAGATCGGAGCAGTAAGGCATTTCTGCTGGTGATACGTCGGAGCATGGCGTCTCTTTGCCAAAACCGTAGTGCAAATCTGACACTTGCAGTATCTTGAACCGACCATCAGTATTAAACCGGAGCTGCCTTCTACCGAAGGGGTAGGCAGAAACGTGACATGAAAGACATAAGTAGATCAAAGACACACTTAAAACAGAGGATAAAACTAGTCTACTCCGATTTTTAACCATTGTTTTAGGTAAGTGTGACTATGAAACTAGAGATGAGAACGAGAACAATGTCTCTTTCCTGTTTTTATAGTAATTTCGATATGATTGTCTCCCAAAGATATGATAGCATCAACTATATTTTATTCTAATGGCATATTCTACAATTTCATATGTATCTAATTATTTTGGCATTATGCTTTTGGTTTGTTATTGACGAATATTCAGACGAGAAAAAACTGCTTTCATTTCATTTTCGTGATTTTCCGAAACAAAATCGATTCGTGAATATTCAGTTTAGATAAGATAACTACTATGATCCCTTGAAAACACTAGACTTGACAAGCACAAATAGACAGACGAACACCCCACTTCTAATGCAAATTTACACACAGACCAAAGAAACATCCCAAGGAAATAGAATGAGAGGGAAAAAAACACACCAAACAATGCTCATAATACACAACTAAAGGATCTCTAGAAACACTATCGAAACAAAGCTTCTTCAAGTGGTCTTGTCTTTAGTAGCAACAGCATGAGATTTGAACCATGGAATCCACACCGAGGTTGTCTTCTGATAGGCTCTATAAGCTTCAGCTCTGTACTGTTGTTTGACCATCCGACGCTCGACAAGAATTGTTACATAGACCAGACACAGAGTGTTGACCAATGCACCAATCAAAGTCCATCCTTGACCAAGGTTCCAAGCAAATATGACCAATCCCCACCACCACAATTGCTCTCCCAAGTAATTAGGATGTCTAGAGTAACGCCACAAACCGGTGTCGAGATTGGGGATTTTAGGCTTTCCTTGCTCCTTGAGTAGTTGGTTCCCGGTTACAAACTCGTGAAGCTGTGTGTCTGCGTAGTATGCCATGACGATTCCCGTCAAACAGATAGCCAAGGAAACGAAATCCCAGATGTTTAGTGGCGCATCGACGGAATGGATGACATATAAAGGTAGACATATCCCAATGAGGAAGATCTGAGTAAATTTTGGAAAATGAGAAGCTTAATGAGAAACAAGAAAAAATACATATAGAGAAGCTAAGCAGCAAATATAGATAGATTGAACAATTTATCACTAAAGCCCTTTAACCAAAAAGAATCTACTTATTTCTGAACTATCCTCATAACAGGCAATTCACCGAACAGTTGGTAGACAAGGTACCTGCTGGGAAACGTAGACAGAGAAGAAGGAGAGCCACCACCAGTGTCTCCCGTACTGTTTCCGTAAGTCGTTGAATCTCCAGTCCTCTCTAGCACCCCATTCCCAATTCTCCCGCCGGAAATAGTTGTGAGTCAACCTAATACTCCAAACCCATGTCAGAATTATCACAATCATGGATCTCCACTTATTGTACTGTCCCAGTGGATGCGACGCGAAGTAATGAACCAGCATTACTGGTATCACCGTCCAATACACATCGATCATCTGCCCACATTAACAGACGTATCAAATTAGAAATCTGACATTTCAGAAAGAGATCATCAAATTTCAAAATTTCAACAAATGGGTAAACATTTTGGAGACTATGGAAGCGTACCCAGTGGCTAGATTGGAGTAAGCCGATGATCCAGAAGAGCACATTGACGTTAAAGAAGAAGAGAAGGTTTGCCAATAGAAGCGGATGATTCAAACACCATGAATAACTAGAGGAAAGCTCTGAATCGGAAGCTAAAGAGTGGTTATTACGGAGAAATGTGAGGTAGAAGACGATAGAAGGAAGTGGAGCAAGGAATGCAACAATGGCGTTTCTAAGATTCCGATTCATTTTTGGGTCTGGAAGAGGAGGAAGGAAGTCGTTGTTGGCCAATTACAAGGCGGAGAGTTGCAATTTATAAACTGAGAGCTAAAAAAAAAAGAAAAAGGAATCTCACTTTGGACTTGTGGGTTTTGGTTAGCTGTGGCGTGTATGGGCCCTAGTAGGCCCACTTTGATCACCGATATGATTAGCGCCTTCTGTTTGTTTATATACTTTTGGTGAAAATTTTAAAATATAATCAACTGTAGAAAAAGTTTAGCTTTTTGTCAAAAGAGCCGCAAAAAGTCAGTAATGAAGAAAATAATTGGAGTATGATTTTGGATCGTTATAATGATATATGATGATGGTATGAGATTTTTGACTATTAATCTATATAATGAAAGTAATAGTGTAAACTATACACTCTTATTTGTCGATATAAAATCCAAAATAATAGCAGAAATAGGGACAAATAATTATATATGTTAAATAAAAATGAGAGCATGAGGAGAGAATCGCAATCATACAGTGAAAAATGTGATTAGTTTAACTTTTGAAGTAAAAGTGAAGATATCACTAAGAGATAATTAGCGTTGCTCCTGGTGACTCTAATTATTAGCGTAGCCGAAAGGCATTGGATTCTAATTTAATCAGATTCTCCATATTCTATAATATTAACACCTTTATATGCGGTCCAAATTTGAACTTTAATGTATTGTATAATTTATAGCTTACATCATACATCCATGGAAGAGTTTGATTAATGCGACATTGGTTGATGTTAAAAAAAAAAAGAAAGGAAACGAAGTCGCTTCTTTCTTCCGCATCTCGGTTCGTCTTTTCAATATCTCCCTGGTATAGGAATCCCAGTTTGACCGGTTTAATGGTGCCGGTTCAGTACAAACCGAAAAGAAACCCTCTCGGCCTCTCCTCTCAAAAGGTCAAGAGAAGCGAGGGATTTTAAGCATATCGACCGTCGACATATCTAATCATCTCTCGGTGTCGCCGCCTTTCTCCGCCGTCTTAAAATCGACCTTGTTTGATTTTCGAGACGACGAAAGAGACCTAACGATGTCTGGGAGGTTGCTGAAGAAGGTTCTCCAGGAACATGAAGAATCCAAACAACGGAATCATCACGAAGAAGAAGAGGAAGAAGATGATGATGAAGAAGAATTGGGAGCCCGTTCTTCGATTAATCCGTTTGACCTCTTGAACGAAGATGATGAAGATCCTGAGGTCAGTCTGTTACCTCCAAATTTGACTATTAGGTTGTTTAGTCGATTGTAGCATCTGCAAATTTTGTCCTCTTCCGTGTACGAAGGTCTCTGATTGCAATAGGTTGATCTTAGATGTTTATGGTTTTTGTTTCTGATGATGTCTGGAGCTATCTGTTCTGATGATCAGTGATTAATCTTTTGTTGGTGGTAGAAGTGAAGTGTTTCTGTAACAATTTGGGTTTGATTGCAGGAGATAGAGATTGATGATGAGGCTATAGTCGAGGAGAAGAACGAAGATGCGGATCACTTGTCAAAGAATGTACAGCCGGTGTCTAAGAATAAGTCAAAGAAAAAGAAGAAGAAGAAAAACAAAGAGAGTGGTTCCAATGTGGCCAAGCCTGAAATCAGTTTGGATGAAACTTTAGAAGCACTTGGTCTCAATGCTAACTCTAAGCTAGAAAAGGTCCAGGATTCAAAACCAAATGCTGATTCTTCGAAAAAGGCCTCTTCACGATATGTGCTGGAAATAGATCCCAAGTACCTAAATCTTGAAAATGAGCTGAGGAGAGTGTATGGTTCAAAGGCTCTGAGATCATTTGAAAGTGGCACTCAAGGTGGTGGTAGCTCTAGACTAGGACGAGGGGGAAGACGTGGAGTTCATCATATCACAAAGACGGTTCTGATATCCCCAAAGGAGAATTGGTCTCGCTGGGATCGATCTTTCTCAATGGAGTTTCTAGAGACTAAAGATGGTAACAACTACTTCAGGTAACAATTTTTACAGTTTTTTTTTTTGTTGGGTGTGTGTATTGAAGTACAGACATTGTAACTTTGTACGTCTGATGGAATATCCTGCTTTTTGTGTGTAGATATACCCATTCATCCTCATATGAGCAGGCTCAGAGGGCATTTCAGGCTGCACAGGCTATCCATGATTTGAACGGTGTAGCAAGTGTCCTTATACACCATCCTTACCATATTGAGTCGCTCATAACTATGGCGGACTACTTTAAGTTTGTTGGTGAGCATGATATGGCTGCAGATGCCATTGGAAAGTGCTTGTACGGATTGGAGCGTGCGTGGCATCCTATGTTCACTCCGTTCCAGGGTAACTGCCGGTTGGAGTTTAACCACGAGACTAACAAGCTGTTCTTCAAGACGCTTTTCACTCACATGAGAAACATGGACATGCGTGGCTGTCATAGGTCAGCGTTGGAGGTATGCAAACTCTTGCTTTCGTTGGACACGAGTGATCCAGTGGGAGCTTTGTTTTGTGTGGACTACTTTGCTTTGAGAGCAGAGGAGTATGCGTGGCTGGAGCAATTCTCTGAGGAGTACCGAGATGACAACTCATTATGGCTCTTCCCAAATTTTTCGTATTCACTTGCTATAGCCCGGGTTTATCTTGAGAAAATGGAGTCTTCATCTTCCTCAAAAGCCACTCACATAGATAGTTTGAAGTCGAGCTCTTTGGATCTAATGAAACAAGCTTTGAAGCTTCATCCGACAGTACTCAAGAAACTAGTGGACAAAGTACCTTTAAAAGATCAGGCATGGACAAAGATACTCAAGCATTCTTACTTCAGATCAGATGAATCAAAGATAATGTCCTTGGATCACCTTATCAAGATCTATGTGGAGAGGAATTACCTTATATGGAGGCTTCCAGATATACAGAAACTGCTTCGGAGTGCTGCTGATCTAGTAATTGAGTCACTTGAACAAGACGGAACCGAAGCCGAAAGCTGGCTTTGTGTAAGGAAAGAAGCTTTCTCTGCCGAGAATAACCAGTAAGTGTTCAAATCTCATTTGGAAATGTGCTTATGGCTAGAGCTGATCACTTATGGTTCCTTCTTATCCATTCCAGGTACTCTCATTTAGCAACCCATGATTTCTCTGATTCAATGCCGACTCTCCCTCCAGACAATTTGCAGAACTTTGTGGCTGATCCAAGAATGGTGGGAGGAGATCAAATGATGGGTGTAGGCGGAGGGGGAGGTCAACAGCAAGCACCACCGCCTCCACGTGATCTGGCAAATAGGAATCCATTGGCTGTGTTGATTGAGTCAATGCTTCCATGGGCACATTATGGAGATGGAGACGATGAGATTGCACGTGATGCTCACCACCAACCAGACAACAATGGCTGAATGAAAGAAGAAAACTGCTACAAATTTTATAAAATGTGGCCTTGCTTTTGTTGTACAGTGCCATTTTGATGGTTTAGTTTTAAAATAATATCATTTTTTATACTGCTACTTGCGACTACTTTCGGTAAATCGGATTTAATCACTTTCAAGTTCTTGTTTCTGATTGAATCATTGACAGCTTTAATTGCTTAAAGGTTGAGCCGGTTCAGTTTCAGGTCAAAACACGGCCACGTATCAATAATGCCGATTTCGCGCGATGAGTGTATTTATTTATTTATCTTTAAAATAAAAATAAAAATAAGTACCGAAAAATAAAACTGTCCCTTCCTTCTAGTTCTCAGTTATCAATTTCTCACCATCCTCGAATTCGAATAGCTCCCGAGAGCTTTGAAGGTACCGCCTGAATTATTATTTTTCTTTTGTTTTTTTTTCTGTGAAAGAAGAGAATTTGAAATTTGGTTTTTTTTTTGTGGTACAAGTAAAAGCTTCGGTCTTTAATTGGGTGGTGATTGTTCGATAATGGATCGAATTGCGTCAGCGACCTTGTCTTGCCCTGCGATTTCAGTGTCTCGCGTCTGTAGAATCAACCCTTGTGGTTTAAACATTAGTAAGAAGAGATTTTCGTGTCGAGTAGCTGTAGCTTCTGGAGAGACGACGGCTAGGGTTTGTTCTCTGCACGTTTTTGCTCTTCTTTCTTTTACTCGTCTGTAAGAAAATGATTTGAGTATGTTTGGGTGATAAACTCAGGTCGTCGACACTGAACTTGACTTAGAACACAAGAAACACGATCTACTGAGAGCTGTTCAAGACACTCAACGAGGACTCACCGCCACCTCTGATCAACGTTCTGTCATCGAGGAGGCTCTGGTACAGTTCATTGTGTTAATTGCTGTTGCTGTATCATAACGAGTGAGGAGGTTAGTCTTTTATAATGATTCTGGATTTGGTAGAAACGTTTCAGGTGACTGTTGAAGGGTATAATGGCGGTGAAGCCATTGATCTTGTGAAGTTAGATGGAACATGGAGGCTACAATATACATCTGCACCTGATGTTGTTGTTCTCTTTGAAGCTGCTTTAAGACTTCCCTTTTTTCAAGTAATACTACTAATGATAATGTTGATCAGACTAAGCAGAGGGAAACTTTAATTTTTTCCTGGTTTCAATCCTTTGTGGGTTTTTGATTAGGTGGGGCAGGTCTACCAGAAGTTCGAGTGCAAAGATCAATCAGACGGTGGGATCATTCGGAATGTTGTTCAGTGGAGTCTTCCAAGCTTGTTGGAGGTTTATACTTCGCTACTTGTAACCCTGTCCACTTTTCCAGACAGTTTACGTATATAAATCTTTGGCAGGACCAAGAAGGTGCAACACTTGTTGTTACTGCAAAATTCGACAAGGTCTCTAGTCGAAACATCTACCTTCAATTTGAAGAGGTCAGTTGATAGTCAGCATTTCTAACCTTACAGTATGTGTTTAGCAGAAGCTATACGAATTCATGAACTCAGAAGTTTTGCAGATAAGTGTTAGAAACATTAACATCAATGAGCAGCTTCAAGCTCTAATCGCACCTGCAATACTTCCGCGCTCATTTCTAAGCCTACAGGTGAAAAACACTTTCTAGTACCAATGCATGGTAACCAAGAGGGAGACTAAGCTAACAACTCATTACCTGTTTTCCAGATTTTGCAGTTTATCCGTACTTTCAAAGCTCAGATCCCAGTCACCGCGACCAGCCCAGGAAGGTAAACAGTGAACTTTGTTTATTTCAGAAACCCATGTACTAAGATATGACTATGGATGCTAAAGTTGTTCCTCTATTGCAGGAGATCTGTTGGTGGGTTGTATTACCTGTCGTATCTCGATAATAACATGCTCTTGGGTCGTTCTGTAGGAGGAGGAGGAGTATTTGTCTTTACAAAATCTCAACCCCTTGAGCTGTGAACAATAATAAAATTTCTGTAATGCTTTTTTAACTGTATATCATAGGGAGAAGAACATTATGTCAGAAGTTTCTGTTTATGTACAACCTATTTGGGATTTACTGAAGATCTATATAGCAAAATTGTTTCTGGGCTTCTTTCCAACTCGTAATATATTCAACCAAGAAGACTGTTCCATAGTTCTTTAAGAGAAATATAAGCCTGAGGACAAGGAATAGCCTGTAGCTTGGTGTTGCTATCTACCAGTGTCTCTGTTACTAGACCAAGTCTCACCAACGTGCTTATAGCCTTTTCTACTCGAATCTCAACCTGTAAGTGGTTTAGTGAGTTAGCTACAAGTTGTAGTGATGTTGTTATACGAGTTTGAAGTTGGAGTAATATTTTCATAAGGGTTTAAGTTTTATACAGACCTTTATTTTGAAAGTGTCATACATGAATCTCTCGCATCTATCTCGAACTCCTTGGTAAGACATATTCTGTAGGCCAATTGTTTATTCATGAGCATCTGCGGAAAAGCCTGAACTATCCAAGAATGAGGCATGGCATTAAGAGAAAGAGTGACTAGTTATGTCTAACCTGATTCTTTCCCGCTTGAAGAATAATTGCATAAGTCAATATTGCCTCCTTGTACTGCAGATAATGAGTAATTTGAGAACGAAAGCATAAGTCAGAAGGAAAGCATTTTTCCATATGGAATCCCTCATGCATACTTCCAAAGGAATAAGAAGGGAGAAATGAAGGAGATCTTGCCTGTTGCTGCTCTGAGGCATCCAAAAGGAAATGGACGGAGCCAAAGCCACTGGCTAAGGTTTTCTCATAAAGCGTCTTGTTTACTAGCAACTGAGGAAGTAAATCAAATGCAAGAAGAAATTCCAACATCAGAACACGAAACCCACAAGTAGTAAAGAGAGTATGAATTTGAGGGTCAACTCACTTGATATCTATCCCATGTCTGCTTGTAACCCAAAACCACACGTGTTGCATAAATTACCAGAGCAGTGACGGCAATCACATCAAGAAATAGTGCTGATCTGTGTAGCAAATGACTAATCTTACTTAACTCTTTGTTTTTGTAAGTAAATAAAAATGGAAGAGGATAAGAGACATACGGAGATGATGAGATGTTCTCAAACTTGTAGTTTACAAAGTATGCTGTCAGTCCCAAAATACTGGCGATATCCAGACGTACCTAATAAAAGATACAAAGAATTGGGTCAACGAAAATAAGATCAACAAGATTGAGTCTGTACTGCAGCCACACTTACTGTATCTATGATGCGAAAGTATAGCTTCTTGTGAGGAAAAATTACCTACATACAACAGTGAAAGAAAAACAGTGGTGAAAACTACAGGGAAAAGTTCATTGGCAGACAAGAGACATGAGAAGACACTCATGATGTCGATGTAATATTCTTACAGGTAAATCTGGAATTGGAATTCTTTCAAATATCTCTAATTGTAATGATGATCGTGTTTCATCTTTATTCTTATCATCTTTATCACTCGCCTCCTTCGTGTAAAGCAAAATTAGTTCTTCAAATGCAGGCTCCTATTCACCAAAGAGCAAAAATAAACAGATGATTCATTCATTGAGGAAATTTGACAGTGCACCACAGACTGAAACAAATGCTATTATTTGCATCGAAACCGAATACCTGCAGAGTTGAAGGTGATAAAAGAATGGAAATCGAAGTTTTTATTCTTTTCCAAATATCATTTCCACAAGCTTTCTTTGAAGCAGGTTTCCATATATCATCCAGTGTCATCCTTGATAAGAAAATCGGCCTGCGTGAAGAATACTCTACTGCTTAGCTCAAATTTCTGATCAGGTTGAAGATTTAGGGAAAAAATTGATGAAAGGAATTTGTCTTTGATTTAATAGATCAACGACATACTCAAACAAGTGATACAAACACATCTAAGAACTTTCAGACTTGTTTATACTTAAAGTGAACATATATATGCAGGTTCATTCAGAAAATCACATATATTGGCATAGAGATTCTTCACAAACATCAAATAGAGACCAAAACACAATCCAGTGGAAAAGATGACTGACGGAAAAAAAAAAGCCACGCACCTTAAATAAGGTTCAGATGCATTACTATCATTAGCTAGCTGAGATGGTGTTTCATAAGCAGGAGAAATGAAACCAATCCATCCGAGCAACTTTCTGAAGAGCTTTGCTCGAGGACCAACCGGTGTCAGAAGCCCCTCATATCGACTGACCGCCCTTTGTGCTGCTAACCGCATGGGAAGGACTGAATCGGGAAGGAACCCCTCTTCCAAGAAATTATCCGAAGTTTGGTCGAAATATGAATCCTTAAACAGGGAAAGCTCCTTGAGCCAAACTTTCATTCTCTCTGAAAAATCTTGAATTTCTTGAGTTTGAGAAGCCTCACTTAACGCCTGTCCATGAAATATGAAGAAATAAAATGTCAAATTTAATAACTAGCAAGGCTCAAAGGTTTTTTTGAAATAATACAGCTGCACATATGCAATAAATGCAAATTCGCCCCATGATCATATAATATAGTATATGCCTCACAAAATAGGAGTCAGACCTTGTTTATCAATTTCCCAACATTTCTCAGGGGCTTTGCAATAGTAGAGAAGATTCCTTGGAGAACTTTAGACTGGATATAGTCTAGCTTCTCCACAAGTAACAAACCCTTTTCCTTCTCAGTTGCATATCCACGTCTGTAAAGAAGATGAAATTCATAACCAGATTCTCCATAGAGAATGAGATAAGCACATTTTAAAAACGCCTTAAAAAGATATTACATTTACCTGAAAACAATAGCATTAGACTCTGACGCCTTCTTCCAATCAACGTATACAGGTAATGTAAGAAGGTAATCCGTATTCAGAGCCGATGTCAATGCCAAATCCCTTGCTGAAAGCTCTTCAAAGCCGGCACTGTCGAGGAGCTGAATGAAAGAACGCTGGAACCGGGTTGCAGCCATTACACTGCATTCGAGCTTTATAAAGTTATATCCAAACTTTCAAAACACCACTCGCGAATATTGTATCAATGAAGAAGGTACATGTTTTCCTTCTACAAATATCTAAATACCTTTTAGCCGAACGTTTCTTTGTATGTTTGCCAGAGGAAATTAGAAAGTTCCAAATGTCGAACCCATCAGCCAAAGGGAATGATAAACCCTCATATCCATTAACACTCTTAGGTTCAGATTTCTTGGCATTCGATTGAAGTTCATCCTCTGCGTCAATTTCTCCATCTGAAGTGAAACTTTCGTCGTCACCAGAAGTCTTTACCTCCTCCAGGGATTGAGTAGCGACGAAATCGGCTCTCATTTGCTCCAAAATCCTCTTATGCTCGGCGTGAAGGATAGAGTCTAAGCACCTAAAAAGTTTCAGAAAAACAACGTTAAGGAGAGTCCAATAAAAAAAAAACTTCGATGCAGATTCACGTTAACTCAGAGTTTATAATCAGCTTACGAGGAAAGGAGGAGGAAGATATCAGCGTCTCCGTCTTGAGAATCGAGGAGCGTCGTTAGAATACCATTAACGAGATCAGACTTGGAGACATTGATGTATTTCTCACGAGGAACATGGATGCTCGAAATCCCCTCCTCGTCATCTCCTTGACGTCCATCTTCAGCCGGGGGAAACTCCTCTTCAACCTTCCAGCTACCACCGTTTTGAAGCTCAGTTAAGCTACTGATAGCTCGCTCCGACTCTCCGGAGACTACATCAAGACGCGCAAAACTCGCCGCTTCTGTAAGCTGGCAACGAACTAAACGACGACGCAAAGACGGCGACGACGGCTTGGCTCGAGATGGAAGAGCGACGAAGCTAGTGAGGTTTCGAAGAGATAACATATTGGATCTGAATCACTTTAGCTGAAACGAGAGATTCAGAACACATTTGCAGGAGATTCGTGACCATTGAAGAAGAAAGCAGAGAAGCCGTAAAAATTGATTTTGATTAGCTCCGCCCACAAGAGAAAAAAAAAAAAACGAATAAAGACGAAATTGTGAATTAACGGCTCAAAACGACTCAGACGCGGCCGCGCCTTTAACCGATCAGATGTGTTATGAGCCACCACACAAGTGAGTAAAACCTCTTCTTCAGTCAGAGACTTCACGTGTAACAATAACCTTCTTGGTTACATCACATGGACGTGGATGATCTAATTTTGAATTTGGATTCGTATAAGAGACGCAACTCAGACAGTAGAGAAAATTAGGCCTTTTTTTTTTTACTTCTGGAAATTGAAAATTGTTTGAAAACAATTACGAGAAACCCTAAAAATTTTGTGTTTTTTTTTTTTGGTTTGGTTAAATTCATCTATTGAATTTTTGTTTTCTCTCTGGATAATATTGTCCAGAAGATCGCCAAATCCTTCCTTCAAGTGAAACAACCATGACTGAGACATCATCATGGTATTTCCTTCTATCTCCTTGAGGAATATCCAACAGATCATGAAACTCCATCCCTGCCATATTGTTGGTTTCATTTGTTTTATATTAACCGGCTGCTTAATACAAAAACCGTTACTAAACCGATCATCGAACTTGGATGTTAAAACTGTACCGTTCTTGGTGGCAGCACGAGAGAGAAGCTCTGCAATGAGGTATTGAGCAGGATCGCCTTCAGGAACGTTTTCGATGAACCATGTTACGTGAGCAACGACCTCTTCGTTGCTGAAGTATTCATACAATCCATCCGAGGATAGCACCATGAAACGATCGCTTGAAGTCAGTCTGTGATGGACGGTACACGGTTCGCAGGAGATGTATGGATCTGTTCCAATGTACTCTACTCTGAACATCTCAAGCAATGCTTCATTGAAATTCGGCTGCAACAACATAGGAATTTTCATTCATAAGAATAATTAGTTTAAATCTGTGTGGTTTTGAAAGTTTGTTTGCAGCTTTGCTTCCTACCTTTTTGAGAAATCCAGCACCAAAAGCTCGAGTGACTTTTAGTTGGCCTTTCACTCTATCTTTCAGTATGGACTGTTCATCTTCTGGATGTTCAGATTTAATCCGCAAAATTTCCTGAAACAGATAAAGAAACTTGCTTTTTGACAAATGGTGCCAAATTCTACAAATTTCACTACTAGCCACATGAACTGTCAGAGATATACCTCTTCCACACTTGTGCTATGGTCACTTGAGAGTTGAACGGCTCTCATCTTTAACCGGAAAGAGGTCACATCTCTGTTTTTGTTTGAGACACTGATCGGAGTTGTTTGATTGTGTATTGGAGACTCCTCTGATATTCTATCCAATTCCATACGCACAAGTGATTCTCGGGATCTACTCTTATGCCCTATCCCCTCCTCATTCCCAAAACCGGGATTAGAATGACGATCATGGAGCCTTTCTTGGGCTAAGATAGCCCGACTATCCCCAACATTCATCACATAAACATCTTGATCCTTCATTAGCATTACAAGAACGCATGAACCCATTAGCGCAAGCTCTGGGTTTATGTCAAGAGACTTCTCCACCATTTCCATGTAAGCCTCTTCAGTACTTTCTAGTGCTCTAGCCATTGCTCTTAGCACAGCATCATGGTCTACAGTTCCTGACCAGCGTCTTCTAATTGGTCCCGATGACTCCACTATCTTCTCTTCAACACAAGTTCCTTCTTCCCTGTGCCAATCATAACTCCAAGGAAACAGCTTTTTCCGCAAAGACTTCTGTTTTTGATACATTCGTCTTATCTTTGAGCTTATCTGTGATTTTTTAGTCCCATGGCTTTGTCCTGAGGCTGGAATCTCATCAAGAGCACTACAGTCTGTGGTACACGGATCATTTCCAGCTCCTCCACCTGAAGTAGTTGGATTTTCTACCTGATTGGTCATATCGTTCAGAGCCACACTCCCTCCATAAGAATCTTTAAGCCCAATTTCTTCTTCTTCCCACCGTTCCAATTGAAGTAGCTCGTAAAGTCTAGTGCTTTTCTTGCCAGGACCAGCTAAATTTCCAGGTAGACCATCAGCAATCATAGTATCGGCATTTCCAAGGCTACTGTTATTATCAGTCATAACCTCCTCACTTCCTGCAACTACTGACTTTGAATGCTGCTCACTGATAGTTTCTGGATCACACGAGTGCTCTTCTGAAGAAAGAGGTTCCTGGCGTGGCTGCAATTGATCATCTACTGATGGCTCTTCATAATCCCAGAGAAGACCTTCTAATTCCTTGTCAATAGCTTTATAAAGATGACTCATAACAAAATCTGGAGCATCAGGTCCACTAAACCCATCATATATCCCGATAAATAGCCATCCTTGTTCCTCCGAAAGCACAACATGAACCCTGTCTTCTCCTGCTCTCCCATGAGCCCATTGCAAGTTACGGTTGCTCTCTAAACAACTTTCTGGGTCTTCGCCATGTAACTTACCGTCCTTTCCAACAGGCCAGGAAACCCTAGTCTCTGGATGCAAGAAGAAGCGATGCATCCAACTCAATCCTCCAGATCGTCTAGAAAATGTCCTTGCTAATGTACTTTTCATTGGCCCGCTCACACTCCTCATAAACCGCTGAAGCCGAGGCTTTTTACGTCTAAAAGAAAGAGGTGCAGAGAAATTAGACTTATCATGTACATCAAGAGGTCCAGACATTACTCCTTTTTCAATAGGCCCTGACATGAAACCGTTGTTTCTATCCAAAGGACCAGATGCAAAGCCTCTTTCTAGAGGCCCGGACATGAATCCATTTAAGGGACCGGAACCACCACGAGGAACCGGCTGCAAAGGAATTGAAGCAAAGGAGGATGTGCTCTCAAACGAAGCAGCAGGCTCCAAAACGTCACTTGAACAGAAAGCCATTTGATTGCCAGTCCTAGCGGTGGAGACATTGGCACTAACGGAAGCACCTGAGATTGCCTTAAAGGTAGTTTCAGCTAAACCTTTGGTGTTGTGTCGATTCAAGAAAGAAGGGTCATCAACGACCTCGTTTCGGAAAGAGCCACTGAGTGTCTCAGAATCAAGGGTGCTTGAACCAATCGTGAACCTCTCCGAGTTAGATGGAGTAATATCCGGAGACTCAAAGATGCTGGGCCGAACGTAGCAAAAGGAATGGCCTAAACCTTCATCTAGAGGTTCCAGGAACTCCAAATCAACACCGTTTTTATCATTGGAAGGCACAAAACAACCGACAACACGGGAAGTCCCGTTTCCCATCACTGAGGCAATATTACAAACACCTTGGAGGCACAATCACATCATAAACCTCTCCGGAATTTGCAGCAGCACAACACATAACAAAGAGAAGAAGGAGAGGCGAAATACCGGAAATTCTTATAAACCCAAGAAAGATTCGACGCGTATTGCAGTAACCAAGCATCATCTGAGGTTCAATCTCTCAACATTGAGGCGCAAACAAGCACCTGCTAGCATCAAATTTGGATTTTTGAAAGGGTCAAAGTAGAAATCAGCTGAATGCCCACAAAAACTTAGGTTCAGAGCTCTGGAAACAGTGTATTAAAAGAAAGACAAATTAATCCAGTGATCTGACCTGTTGAAGAAGGAGATGGATGAAGCAGAAACTAGAAACAGATCTAAAGGAGCGGCAAAGAGAGACAGTGTATTGAACACATCGGAAGCAAATAGAGACAGTAACAAGGGGAAAAAACACCCCTTTAGATTTCCATGGGAATCTGACAAAAAGTACCCATTTTTAAAAAACAAAATTAAAAATTTAATTTGAAAAAAACAAAAACAAACAAAAAAAAAAAAAATAGAAAAGAAGAAGAAGAAGACCCAGATTGAGATTGAACCATGCAGAGACGACCAGCTGTTAAAGATCCAATTTTTTCAGGCAAACACAAACAAAAAAAACGGCAGTTTTAAAAAAGTTTAAGCTTAAGATGTAGTAACGGAGAAACCAAGATTCAGTAATCGACAACAGTAGAATCAAACACAAGCTTGAAGAAGAAGAATATAAAAAGAAAGAAGCTTGAAACTGCAATGGGGTTTTGATTTTGATTTTTCTTTTTAAGCAGACTATAATAATTTCAACAATTTCACCTCCTCTTTTTATATATATATATATATATATATATAATGAATAATTTGTTTTTAGCTCATCGGTGAGCAGAGAAGAAAATAAAGAGTTTGTGTCTTCGCTCTTTGTCTCGGGGTTTTCAAATGGTTTGGGAGGGTAAGAAAATACAAAATAAATTAAAAACACTACTCACTAATTTTTCTTTTATTATAAAATCAAAGAGCAAAATAGGGATGAAGGTAAAAAAAATAATGCTATAAAAAAAAACAGGAGTAAAAATATTTTGCGTTGAAAAATGCAAAAAAGTGAAGACCGTCTTTTTAGGGATTTTTTTATTTTTTTTTAATTTATATTTTTCTTTTGCTTTACTTTTGCATGGCTTCTTTTTTTTTTTTAAGCGTGGGTCCCGCTTTTATTCATACACAATTTTGTATACTTGTCTATATATCAAAAATGTTTTTTATTTTTTTTGTATGTTCTTCAACTTTTAATAATTTGGTTGCATTGAATCTTGCTCCTCACATCGGAAGATTTGACCGGTTCTTAATTCTATTTTATTATTATATAGTTTGAACGTTGAAGTATGTTATATAACATGTTAGTATTAGTCCTCTTCTTTCTTATTTTCTTTTTTTATATTATCATATTTTTTGGGTACCCAAAATTATTTTGAATCTCTCAAGTACCTATTGTGGCTCTATATTTAGTAACAAATATATATTTTATGTCTCAAGTACCTTTGAAAATCGTAAAAATGCAACTTGGTTCGTCCATGTCTTGTTAATTCGTCTTTTTGGAAGATTGTAATTTGTTTTGTAAAATGATGCCTATAACAATATATATAACAACCAGGCCAACTCCACGAGAGCAAAATACTAAATAGAGAGAGTCACCACAACTCTACCGGTCTCACGTTTTACAATTATACAAATTTGTTTTGACTTAAACCAAATCCACTCTCTCTCTCCCCTTTTCCTCTTTTTTTTTTTTTTTTTTTGGTTTTGTCTTTGACTTTTCTGACTACTACTGACAATCTCTTTCAACGCCCCAAGGAAAATTATGCTTTTGGTTTCACATTATTGTTTGTTTTTCTTATTCCTTATATAAATATATATATATACAATTAAAAAGATTATTATGACTAATTAATTCCCTCAATGATCCACAGATCCAAAACCAAAGCCACAGATCGTCCACTTAATTCACTAGTCATATACTTCCAGGATAAAACAAAAAGCTATACTGTATTGGAGTGGGCAGGCATCTCCACAACAAAAATTAAATTTTAGAAAATATATTTGAAACTAATTTACCTTTTTTCCATTCAATAAAATAAATATATAAGATGGAATCTCTAAATGGACCAGACCAGATGATGGTTCATTAAAAAAAGGCTCCAGTGAGATGGGCTTGTGACGATTTTGATTAAAAAGGCCCAGTGGGTCAGTCTCACTCACGGACCATTCCCTCACACGGGAGATGCGCATGCCACGTAAGATAAAAGAGCCGATGCCGACAAAAAGGAGAGGAACATTAATTATAGAAAAATAATCCTTTGACAGTAATTGAGGAGGAACATTATTCAAAGACAGATTCACTCTCTTGCCATTTTGTTGATTATTACTATTTAACTGCAAACGAGTAAATATATCCCATTAATAAGGTATAATATTTTTTGTTATAATTAGCAAAAAATCGTGACCATTTATAGAAGCATAATTGTAATTGTGGGGCTCAAATAAAGACAATTATTCCAAGATTTGTTTTCTCGCGACGCGAATCAAATTATTACCACAATAATTAATGTCCGCCGCGTGCGTGTGAGAGAATATATATACCAGAAAATAAAATAAAAAGGCTTCTTTCACCATCATAATTCACACACACATGCACTAACGATAGATTCGTCTTCCAGTCCAACATTAATAGATCTTTTTAGTCAAACTTACATACAGCTCTCCGGCTTCCGACGACGTCGGAGATGAATAGTTTCTTGCGGATTGCGGCGGTGGTCTCCTTTCTTTGGCTGTGTTCCGTCGTTAGGAGCGGATCTACTGATGGGTTCGGGAATGTGAGAGATACTGACGCTGAGATCTCGTTTCTCGAAAGCCAATTGTCGGCGAAACCTCCGTCTCAGCTTCTCATGGTTCCTCTCACCTTGATTCAGGCAGCTGGCTCCAAAGGAGCTGGTACTCTCTCTCTCTTTCTCTCTCTCTAGATGTGATACTTGAATTCTAATTATATATAAATTAGGGAGGGAGGTTGCTAAGACTAGTTTGATTCATTTTACAATATACCCTCAAGCTTGAAATTCTGACGGATTTGAATCTGTTTCCTTTGAGTTGCTCTCGGATTTGTTCTTGTTTGATTTCAAAGCTCAGTCCTTTATCTCACTATTTCATTCAATTGATGCAGTGTGCCTCGATGGAACACTACCTGGTTATCATCTACACCGTGGTTCTGGATCAGGAGCTAACAGGTGGCTTATCCAACTCGAGGTATACATTATACATATATATGATCTTGAAAGCTCTCGTCTTTTGCATTTTAGTCTTGGTCATGTATGATAATTGAATTTTGACTATAGAAGAAGATTCATACATGTATATGTGATGAAACCAATGATGCAGGGTGGAGGATGGTGCAACACACGCAGGAGCTGTATCTTCCGGAAAACAACTCGCCGCGGTTCATCTAAATATATGGAGAAAGTTTTGGCCTTCACTGGAATATTGAGCAATAAACCTGATGAGAATCCTGGTTAGTCCAACTTTACTACTACTCATGACTCTCTTACACGTTATGATTGCAACAAAGGACTCGATATCTTTCCATGTATTGATACTTTCTTGTCTGTTTGTTGGGCTGTCAGATTTCTTTAATTGGAACAGAGTCAAATTGCGTTATTGCGATGGTGCTTCTTTCACAGGCGATAGTCAGGATGAGGTTGGTCAACAGTAGATTCTGCTTCACCCCTTAATGTTTTTTTTCACTGCTCTGAAAGTTTGCATTTGATTTCTTCTAATGTCTTTGATGTAGAGCTCGCAACTATACTATAGAGGACAACGAATCTGGCAAGCAGCTATGGAAGAACTACTGTCTAAAGGCATGCAAAAAGCAGAGCAGGTTTTGCATTTACTTTGAACTAATCATATTGGATTGTGCTCTTGTTGATGTTTTTAAATCACCTGTAAGTAAATTTCTATCGCAGGCTCTACTTTCTGGATGCTCCGCTGGAGGATTAGCTTCCATTCTGCACTGTGATCAGTTCAAGGACCTATTACCTGGTACTACGAAAGTGAAATGCTTAAGTGATGCTGGAATGTTTATGGATGCGTAAATCTCTTCTTCTTTTTGAGATCTTTTAATTAACTCTGCATCAAGTTTATGAACACAAAAATAACGTTTTCAACTGAAAATGTAGAGTGGATGTCTCTGGAGGCCACTCGCTTCGGAAAATGTTCCAAGGTGTTGTTACAGTACAGGTAATCTCAGAATCAAAGATGTCTCATACTAGCTATATTAGTATTAATCTTACCCTTACTGTAAATTTTGTATTGTTTTATGTCAAATTCTAGAACCTCCAAAAGGAACTGTCCACTACCTGTACAAAGCATATGGATCCAACTTCGGTATATTTCTTACTTTCTTGATATTCACTGGTCCACAAAACTCGAGCATCTTCAAAACTAATTCATTGTATTTTGTTTCTTTGCCTCAGTGCTTCTTTCCCCAGAACTTGGTTTCAAACATTAAGACTCCCATGTTTCTTCTAAATGCAGCATATGACGCTTGGCAGGTAAATCCCTTCCTTCATCTTTGATCACTCCCATTGCTTCTCTCTTTCACTTGTAGTAAACATTTCATTCTCACAAAACAGAACGAGATAGTTTAGCTCCATCATGTACAAGATTTCACTTATAATCTCCCTCAGGTACAAGAGAGTTTAGCTCCACCATCTGTTGACCTAAGCGGCTCTTGGAAGGCCTGCAAATCAGATCACTCGCATTGTAATTCATCTCAAATCCAATTCTTTCAAGGTGAGTAGTATTTTATGTCACTACATATGACTATATTAGTAACCCTCCTTTAAACTATATCATCGTCGTGGTTGTTAAAATTGAATGTCCTTCTCTTTTGCCAGACTTCAGGACGCAAATGGTGGATGCTGTAAAATCTTTCGCGACATCGACTCACAACGGTGTGTTCATAAACTCATGCTTTGCACACTGCCAATCCGAAAGACAGGACACTTGGTATGCACCGGATTCTCCTACTCTTCATGGCAAGGTAAACATTTTCTTCAGCAATTTGTAAACTATTCTATGTCTCGTTGCAAGCTCACCGTAAGTTTGTTTGTTTGCTTGCTCTATTTGTTTTCGCAGACGGTTGCTAAATCTGTCGGTGATTGGTACTTCGACAGAACAACAGTCAAAGCCATTGACTGTCCTTACCCTTGTGACAAAACATGTCACAATCTCATCTTCAAGTGAGTTTTGACATATTCAAGCTCAAACAGCTTACATGATTCTTACAAACTACATACCATACCATTAGTAACCATTTCTGGAAAAACCACAAATCGACATCTCTGTAGCCATTTCATCTTTACATAATTTATGCTATCATCTATTGTTTTCGACTGACATAAGTTATTTTTCCCGTGTGTTTAATATAGTTTTGATATATTGGGTTGGTATACAATTCTTTCTCAAGTTGGCGAAACTAATTTAGTTGCATACAATTTTAAAGAAATCTTTCATTAATTCAGCGAATCTGTTAGTGAGTCATGACAAGTTTCATGTCCTTGCATGTATAAAATTCAATTAAAAATAAAAATAAAGAACATATCTTCTTTGGATTCGTTGGACTAAATCGATCAGACTCTACCTTTAACTAAAGTATAACTTCTTTATATGGTGATTTGAATTGGGTGCATGGGGCTTTTAGCTTTTAGGCGTTTAGTAAATCCATATTCTGATTAATTGCTTTTAAGAAAAAAGATTTGACTCCAAGAGAGGACAAATAATCAATCATTAGGAAACAATCGGTTTCTAATGACCAAAAAGGTTAAAACAATTCACGTGAATGGTCTATTTACAGGTAAATTATGTAGTTTTTATTTGAATGTACAATGAAAACTATATATGTATAGTAGCTTTCATAATATTTACAAAACGAGTTACCGATACAAGAAAGAAAAAATACTCGTAATATATAACTCGTAGTAAGACTATGGTAACAAAAAAGAAGCTAAACTTGCGAAAGACAAACCCTAACAGAAGAAAGGTAATAAGAAGCTTAACGTGATGCAGAAGCTAAAGCAACAGCTTGTGCCCACATCTTCAATCTTGCCTTAACCTCTTTCGGATCATCCCCTAATCATATTATAATCACACTATTAATAACATTTTCCTCTGTAAGAAAAGTAAAAAATAATTTAACAGTCAGTTTTGGTAAATTACCCGGACTGGAGATACGCCAGTTGGCAATGGGAGAGTTACCGCCACTACTAGTCTGAGTCTCCCGGTTTGACCCGCCCGATACAGAAACCCGACCCGGAACTTCCAAGTCGAACCCGAGATCTCTGCAGGCTTTCACTTCTTCAAAACCCATCTTCATTGACTTCTTCCCTCCTCTCACCTTCGTTAACACCGTCAACTCTCCTCCTCCGCCGTAACGGTTCCCGTCTCCGTCGCTGTCTCTCTCCACGCCGATAAACCCGTGACCGTACTGGTTCCCTCTTTTGCTCTTTTCTCTCCGTTGACTCACAATATTACTACACCTAGCGCCGTCGCCTTTCACCCCATTATCTTCGCCGGAAACCGTGAGTTTTCTTCTCCGACGAGATGTGATCGTCGGGAGAGAGTAGAATCCGGGAGATTCCTTGTCGGAATCCGAATCGTCACCATCATCGGAGATTTCCCCGTCGGCCTCGGCACCGACGTCGTCGTCCAAGCTCTCTAGCGACAGAGCAGAGACGAAATTACATAGCTGTGAAGGATGATGATCTTCATCGTCTTCGTGGAAGGAGCTCGTGCAGATAGATAACCTAGACAAACTGTTTTGCCTTGTCTGGTAAGGAAAGGCATCAGGATCTGTATCGTCGTACTCTTCGTCAAGAACCGAAGAAGAATTGATCACCATGCTCTCTTCCGACGCCATAAATTAACACGATTTGACAAAAGAAATAATTAAAAAGAGTTAAATACACAATTCAAGGTTCTGCAGAAGCCTTCTTGTTAATTTGTTTGTGTCTTTAAACTCTTATTACTAATAAAATAAAGAAGACTGAGTAGTAGAAGTAGTATTCGGACATTTTCCAAAGCTATCACTCTCAGGGCATTGGTAATTAAGCGACACCTGTAACGCGTGTTTAATGCATAATCCAAATTTGTACCTTTAAGTTAATCGACCGTTATTAAATATTCAATAAGGCAAGATCGTTTTGGATTGGAGGATCTCTTTAGAGTTTCTCTAAACTGCCCCTTCTTATCGAAGACAAAGGTTTGGGTCACATACTCATAGGGCCTCATTTGGTTAGGGTATTTCAGGAATTCCGATGATGTTTGCTGATGTTTTCCACAATCAACTAATAAAATAAATGAGATTTCACTAGCAAACAACAAAACTATTCACTATAGCTTCTTCCACGCATACTTAAAACAAAAGTAATTTGTATACACACTATGAAAGTTATGTTTTATATTTTAATATCGAAAAGTATCAATCGATAAACATAAGTAAACAAAATTTTATACAGAAGAATGATATAAAAAAATTCATGATTGTAGTTTGGAAAAAAATTGTTGAAAGGTAGTATTTATTATAATATAACACTATATATATATATAAGCATGTGTGTATAATATTGTATGTTAAGCATAGGTTTGCATAAAATTAAAACATGTGGTGCGAAGGAAATAATAGAGATATCTATCATTCTCAAAATATTAATTACACAATAAATGTTAGAGAGACTTTTAGTGGTGCCGGCAGGGATAGTTGTATGTGGCTTACACTTTTCTCCGTCGTCACTCAGATCTCTTCTCTAAACTTTATCATCATGTCTGTGGTGTGGATCCTCATTTTTGTAAATTTTTTTTTTTTTTTTACTAATTTGATGTTGTAATCTTATTTAATTAAACTTGTGAAGACATATCTCCATCGAATCATAAATCAACGTGTATGAGCACTGGACCGGACCTGGCCCATATGATGTTTACATCTCCTTCTTAACTAATAATAAACTTGTTCTTTCTTTATTATATTGGTCACTTTCTAATTTAAATATAATTTACTACACTGGTATTGTATAAATTATTAGGATGATGTTGAGTTATTTGATAATGGATTGTTATTAAATTCTTTGGAGCAATCTGAGCGTAGGATCATTTGACCAGGAGTCTTTGGCACCTGATATCCCAACACGTGCTACTTTTATATAGCAATTAGTTAATTAACCATCATTAAGTTTATGGTCTGGGGCAACCGCGCAAGTGATTCTTATTATAATTAAGCCCAATATCATAGTTTAATATTTAGCCCACAGAGGTCCATTATACAAAGAGAGCACTTATTTCAACCGTCGATAGGTTTAAGGATCACAGGTAGATCGTACTGAGGCTGAAGAGTGAGGTTATCCCCAGGCGCATGCTTATACTCGCCGGAGAGACTGAGGCGGAAACGTTGAAGAATCATGGCGAGAACTGTCTTGGCTTCCATCATGGCAAAGTTTTGGCCAATGCAAGCTCTTGGTCCGATCGAAAACGCCAGGAGAGCGTTTGGGTGAGTAGCGGCTCGAGTAGCGCCGTTTTCAAACCGCATAGGGTTGAATTTGTCGGCGTCACTTCCCCAAACGGCTTTGTCTCTGTGCATCTTCACAATTGGGAGTACTATTGTCGTGCCTTTAGGGATCTCTAGGTCTCCTAATTTCATGTCTTCTGATGTTAATCGTAGCACATTTAACACTGGTCCGTACAGACGAAGCGACTCCATAAACACCATGTTCATCTGCAATTAGTTAATTTGTACTTAGGGGTCAAACATAAATTAAAACAGGTTTCTTCAACCGCAAGAAACTCTTTTGCATTTACCAGTTTGAGTTTGGAACAGTTCTCTGAATCTGGGATTTTGTCTTTACCGCATTCGTTGATAACCTCTTCTCTGAGCTTCTCTTGCCAGTCTTGGTACAAGCTTAGCAACATCGTACTCCATGTCAATAGATTCGCTGTTGTCTCGTGTCCTGCGAAGAAGAACGTCTTGCATTCTTCAACGATCTCATCAATGCTTATCTTTTTATCAGGCTCGTTAGATTTTGCAGCTGTTAACATGATTCCCAGAACATCGTTTCCGTAATCCTTGGATTTCGATTTTAGCCTCGCATCTATGATTCTTTTGATGGAGTTATTCACTTTCCAACCAAGTTTCCATATTTGAAGATTCAAAGGCGTAGGAAAGTACCTTGCGACACAAGACATAGTTAAAACCAATCTTCAAATCACATTGAAACAAGAAAGAACCATTAAAGTAGAAGAATGATGATTATACACTTACTGGATTCCAGGGATATAGACGTCAGTAAGAGAAGCAGCACAACACTTTTGCAGCTTTTTCTGTGACTTGAACACTTCAATTCCTTCCGCGTAACTGCTTCCAAACGCAGCGGTCGCTATAATATCAGCCGTCACTCTCTTGAACTCTCTGTTCATCATCACCACTTGCTCGGATTCGCCACCATTCCTCTGTTTTTCCCACTCCTCGAACATCCTCAAAGCGCAGTCCACCATCAGTTGGTTCATGATCTGATCCATAAAATGAAGAAATTACAACAACAACATAAATTAGCAAAAGGTGCTATTGTTTTATGTCTTCTAATTGACATGAGACGGAACAATCTAAGGAAAAGAAAAGAAAAAAACCTTGATTTTGTCCATGGAGAATGCAGGGTTTAAGATTCGTCTATGGCGAATCCAATCAAGACCATTCACGAAGATAAGTCCATTACCAGCAAGTTTAAGGACCTCTGGTTTTGTCTTTGATTTAGCAAAGAAACCAAATTTGTTCGATAAGATCTGTTTCGCTAGCTCATGATCTGAGATGCATAACCTTGGCTCTGTTCCTTGCCAGTAGAGAACCGTCTCCCCTAATAAGATACCATTGGTGACTTGTGAGTTACGCATCTTAGTCTAGTGAAACACAAAAGTACTAAGAAATTAAGGAAGATGAGAGAGAGAGATGGAGAACGAATTAAAAAGGTCACCGTATTGAGATATCCATTGGTCAAGATGAGGTAAAACGCGAGGGACGATATCGTTGGAGTTTGGATCAAGAACCGTGAGCTTAGCTTCTTTCTTCATCTTCCTAATCTCGCGGAGGTTCCCATGCAAGATCCTGTATTTTGGACCTGAGATTCCCTGCTTCTTGAATCTTCTTGATAGCATCAAGGGCCGCCAAAAAAGGATCCGACAAGCTCCATATATCTTCGGAACTACAAGGAGTACAAGAGCTAGTGCTAAGAGATTGATCGTGCTAAGCACCTCCATTGAAAGAACAGGCAAATTTTTTTTGGTTTTTGATGGGTTTGAGTGTTTAAGTTTGCTTTGTGGTTTTCAAGTGTGGGAGTTTCAGTTTTATTATGTGTCGTTGGAGTGTGACTGTGTGTGTGTGAGTTCCGTGACTTCTGTTTCTAATATGGACAAATACTTCAATTTATTCCCCTTTTTGAAGAATTAATTAATGAAAAAATTTCTAACCGATCAAAAAAAGAAACAATGAAAGGAATAACTTTGGCATCTATACAAAGTAAACATTTCAAGCATTTCTTAAATTTATGAAAGATCATTTTTCTTTAACCTATTGAAGCTTATTCGAATTAGACAGATTAACAGAAGTACTTCTGGATTCTCAATTTAGAATTGAGAAATGATAATGAGTAAAACATAGGAGTTAGGGTCACACTTAGCTCGTTCTTTTCAAAAGCAATTTAATGGGATTGTTTTTACATAAGAACTAAAGTAATACAATGTAACGTACGATATGGTAGCATCGGATTCTAAAGGCACCTATCGTTAGTAGAGATGTGTGGGAAGTCTTTTTGAATTATATATATAATTCAATTATAATAATTTTCAAATCAGTCGTTTAGTTCATAACAGATGACATCATTGCTTATGTAATAATCTTATCTTCTCGAAGCTTATAATTAGAGGTTACAAACAGATGTTACAGACGTTATAATTTATTTTGACACACGCAGATCCAGTTCTTTACGTTTGGCATTTTGCCATGTTAAAACCGATGGCACAATTTCATGTTACTTTAGCTTTTTTATTCATGATATAAAATATAACACTTTCTACTTTAATTTGGCTACCATGAATTATGAATATCAATTAGCATTAATACGCCGCGACATTATATATTGATATCTATATTTAGCCCATTAAAGAGTTCCAAATTGAGATTGTAAAAGCCCAATTAGGTGATAAGGATGGATTACACGCACAGCATATGAGAAAACAAAGTTAAGGTAGTAGAGAAGAGTAGTAGTAGTTTCTTTAAGAGAGATCCGAATGATTTTGGGGAGTTTACTTCATCAGTCTTCCAGAGGCAGAAGCATTACGGGTAAGCCGTACTGAGGCTGAATAGTGAGGTTATCCATCGGCGCGTGCTTATACTCGCTAGAGATTCTAAGCCGGAAGCGTTGGAGAATCATGGTGAGCACGGTCTTGGCTTCGATCATGACAAAGGTTTGGCCAATGCAAGCTCTTGGTCCGACGGAGAACGCTAGGAGAGCGTTTGGGTGCTTGGCGGCTCGTGAAACGCCGTTTTCAAACCGCATTGGGTTGAATTTGTCAGCGTCGGGTCCCCAAAGGGACTTGTCGCTATGCATCTTCAGAAGCGGGATGACTATTGTTGTGCCTTTGGGAATCTCTAGATGACCTACCTTTACATTTACTGATGCTTCCCGGGACAAAGCTGACACTGGTCCGTAAAGTCGAAGCGACTCCATGATCACCATGTTCATCTGCAAGATATATAAACATGTTTCTTCAACCACAAGAAACATAATCTCACTTTGTGCCCTTTTGAAAACGAACATTACCAGTTTGAGTTTGGAGAAAGTTTCTGAATCTGGGGTTTTCTCTTTACCGCATACTTTGAATATCTCATCTCTGAGTTTCTCCTGCCAATCTTGGTGCAGGCACAGCAACATCGTTGTCCATGTCAATAGATTCGAAGTAGTTTCGTGACCTGCGAAGAAGAAAGTTCTGCATTCATGTGTGATCTCTTCGATGCTCATCTTTCGTTTGTTCTCTTCAGTTTTGTAAGCTTTCAACAGGATTCCCAGAAGATCGTCTCCACAGTCTGATTCTGATTGTAGTCTCGAACTTACAATCCTCTTAATTGAGTTATCCATTTTCCTCTCCAGCTTCCATATTCGAAAGCGCAAAGGCGTCGGGAGATACCTTAGAGTACAGGGAAAAAAGGACCAATATATTTCAAAACCTAAGAATCTTGTCTGAACGGAGACCTAGAAATAGTAGAGTGATTAACTTACTGAGTTCCAGGGATAAACAAGCTGGTGAGCAAATTTTTACAACACTTTTTAAGCTCAATTTGTGATCTAAACACTTCGACTCCTTCGACGTAGCTGCTTCCAAACGCAGCTGTCGCTATTATATCGGCAGTTAGTCTTTGGAATTCTCTGTTCATATCCTTTTTAATCTTCGATTGCTCTGTTTCTTCCTTACTCCTCTCTTCTTTCCACTCCTTTAACATCTTGAACGTACAAGCCACCATAACGTTCGCCATGTTCTGATCAACAGAATGAAGAATCACAACAACAACAAAAGAAAATTTGAATTACGTGTCCAAGGGTTAACTTCTCAAATCAAGTTAAGAAAGAAGGATAAAAAGACCTTGAGCTTATCCATGGAGAAAGCAGGGTTCAAGATCTTTCTATGGCGAACCCAGTCAGCACCTTCGACAAAGACAAGTCCTTTGATGCCGACAAGTTTGATGATCTCGGGTCTTAGCTGTGATTTGACAAAGAAACCTAACTTGCTTGACAAGACCTCTTTGGCAAGTTCAGGATCTGAGATGCATATCCTCGGCTCTGTTCCGCTCCAGTAAAGAAATGTCTCTCCTAATGATATACACCATAGATAGCTTGTGTGTTACGCATCCTCCTCTAAGGAAATTCATAGCTCTTTAAAAAAAAACCTAACATTTTTAAAAGATGAACAAAAGAGACATAGACAGAGATGTAGGAAAGGGCACCGTATAAAGACATCCATTGTCGATAATGAGGAAGAACGCGAGAAAAAACATCATTGGAGGTGGGATCAAGAATCGAAAGCTGAGATTCTCTCTTCATCTTCTGTATCTCGCCGATGTTTCCGTACAAGATTCTGTACTTTGGGCCTGAGATTCCTTGTTTCTTGAGTCTTCTGGTCAACACAAAAGGCTGCAAAACTAGGATCACAAAAACGTCGAAAATCTTGAGAGCAACAAGGATCAAAACAAGTAGGGCCAAGATAGGATAGATCGGGATTATGATCTCCATTGAATCAGAACAAAACAATGTGTTTTTCTTCTTTGTTAATTTTGTGTGAGCGTGTTTATAATTGTTGTTGGTTTGGTGCTATAGGTTTTACACTATATAGTGAAATGCATACATAACTTTTACTGTTTTTACACTTAAAAACTTGTAAAATAAGCGGTGAGGCACTGAATATGAAGCAAGCACAAACACGTCTGTTTATTTTCAATTTGAGAACAAAAATTAAAATAAAGAGTAATAAATAAATTAGAAAGTGCATTGTATATGGTATGATGATAGAGTTGGTTCTAAATTAGAATATAGCATAGATTGGTACGTAATACGAAAACTAGAGAAAGTATAAAAGAGACGCAAATAGCGTTCTAGATGAAAGCAAAGCATAGATATTTAAATTCACACGTGTATAGGTATAGACGTATAGTAGTGATCAGTAGATAAATTAATTAATTAGGTAATAGCATTCCTTATGGTCATTGTTTTGTTTGTATCCTAATATGTTAAAGGGAATGTTTAATCTTACCACAACAGACGCAATGGGTGCGATGTGATAGACATTTAACCTTAATTAAGGAATTTTTAGTTTGTTACGTCTCGTTAGGTGAATTTCTTTAACTTTAGTATCTTAAACAATATTACTCAAAAAAAAAAAAAGAGGCTTCACACAAATTATTTCGCAAATCTGAATAGATTTGTCATGACGATGATTTGTAGTTAAAGATTATGTAAAGAACATACATTTAACGGATGAAGAGGGTTTTGTTATAATAACGGACACATGTTGAGATTATATAATAGAGTCCAGTGGCAGATATTGTGATGTAAGCTATCTAGTAAAAGTCTAGAGGATATGTGATATTAGTCTTTATTATAGATATAGTAAAAATGGTGAAAAATAAATAAATGATCAACCGACGGTGTAATGTGATTGATCGTGACATCTAATCTTATAATTGAAACACTTACTCGTTTGTGATATAGTTTTGCATGGTTTTCCATATATAAAGAAAGCTGTGTGAAATATTTATATTCTTATGGAATTGGTTTAGACTTAACTATCCTCTTTCTCTTAGTATCATGTTAAATTCTGAAATAAGAGATCACCTATTTTAAAGAAAGTGTCTAATTCACATTTAACAAAACAAGAAAAATAAATTTTTTAAAAAGTCTTCACATCAAACAAATACCGGACGCTAATCCATTGTCCATGTGAAATGTGAATTCCATCATCAATTTTTTTTTACCATAGCCGTTGATATCAGAAATTCAATGTCCATCTTCATTAGTCCCACTGAAAAGCCCATTAAGCATAAATTTTAGTAATTTAATGTAACGTATATAAAGTTTGTAAACCCACTACATTTAGGTCGGCAAGGTACAATGAGTGTGTCACATCTTTTTAGTTGAGTTTAGGGTTTACTCGGGGAATAGACAGTGTTTGCTTGCGGGAGAAGATAGGAGAAATTAACCAATCAAACAACGTATATAAACCTACATCGATTCTGTCCTCAGGGGTTAAAAGGCTATGGCTATTGGGAAAATTTCTTATCTTCTTATTATACCAGTACTCATTTCTCTTTCACTTTGATATTATTCTTCTTTTGATTTTGGTATTAATTAAGCTAACAATAAGAATAGAGTTTCTTCAAATAAAATTGGAATATTATTATTTTGGCTAAATGTTCGATATCCTTCCAAGACCAAAGGCCCTAACTGATGCCCAGAGACTACTATACAAACTTACTTGGAAATATGAGTTTTTTCCCAAGTCAACTTAAGTTGGAAAAGACATCATGTCGTACTATATATCTACAAATCTTTATTTAGTTTAGCTAGCGGTAATAACCATTACTTCCTCTGAATTGCATTGCATCTTCTAAGTTTGAGGAGGACGCAGACTTTGGGAACTGATGAGTAAAAGAAGTAGCCTGAGTCTGAGGAACACACGAAGGCACGACGAATTGCTGAGAGCAATTTTCCAATGGAGAAAAGATGGGAGAGTTGGGAATTAGTCCTGTGGGGTGACTAAGAAAGCTTAGCATTTGTGATGATACATTGTTAATCCCTGGAAACCCGTTTCCATGAACATTCATAGGCAGAAACTGCGGTACAACTGGTGTTGTTGCTGCGCCCATATGCATTCCTAGACCCATGGGATGAGAATAATGACCCACTGGTAACATTGTTGGTGGTCTTATCAATCCATTTCCCACACTCATCATCTGTAAACGATTATTAGAACATGTTAAGTATATATTTCACATGTATAAGGAAATATACGAGTAATTATATGAGTTAAGTAAAATATATGAGTAAATTTTTTTATTTTTTTTTTTAAAGTGTGTGTTTTGTTTGTAGCCTCTAGTGAACTTTTCATCAAGAAACATTTTCAAATCAAAGAGGTAAAAGCCTAATGCAAATTGATAAGAAAAACACATTACAAAAAATTTGATGTTTAAAAACAACCTGATTCATTTTTTATTTCTCAAATTCGTGTTTTTACGAAAGAGGCCATAAAAATTATATTGAAAATTTGATGTATAACTTTTGAATACCTGAACTTGAAGTTGAAGGGTCCTCATATATTTGATGGCCTCATCCAATAATGATGCCTTATCGTCCTATATAACAATTACACGTGTTTCAGAAATCTCCACAAAAACAAGATTAACTAACTCTCTCTAAGTATAGTAATCTACTAATTAATGTGGTTAAAAGTTAATATCTCAAACCTTGACACAGCTAGGTAGTAGGTCCTGCAAAGCACGCATTTTCTTGTTGAATTCATCTCTTCGCTTCTGTTAACAAACCCTTGACGTTAATTTTTTCTCCTAATGTAAAATGAGAGTGTATATATATATATATATGTATATAAAGTATAAACTCACTCTTTCAGATAACTTATGGACTTCTGTGCTTCGTTTTCTCTTAGCAGCCGGCTTTCTTGTTCTGACATGGACTTGTGTCTTCTCATCATCATCTGATTCATCATCCGAATTCTGCATAATCATCAAAAAAAGAAGAAGCGAAAAACATAAAACTTTTTTGATGATCGAACCATGTGAAATAAAAACAACACAACTAATAAATTTCTCTTACATTACTAATTAAATAGGTTGATTCTTCTTCTTCAGTGTCACCAAGGTTCCTCTTCAAAGAACAAAAACTTTGATCTATAGAAGTTCCTCGAGAAAACATGGATGAAGAAGCAAAATACAATTCAGTGGATCTTCCAACAGCTACAGATTGCTCATCAGGAGGAGAGGTAGTAACCTCAACATTCTTTGGACCTTTAGCAGAATCATCAATCAATGTTGATGACGCAACACGTTTGTTGCTTTTCGAAACATTTCTCTGATCAGATTCGATCTTGGAGGACGACTTCTTCTTGTTAATCATTTGTTCATCGTTATCTTTATTTTGTCGTGGCTGAGATTCGCTCACAGGAACGACTTGTGTGTCTCCAAGATTCTTGATGTTTTTCTTGAAGCGGCCGTCATAGTACTCGGCCTCATACAAATCCAAAAGAGACTGCGTACGTCGGTTTTGAAAAGAACCGTTGTTCTTGGGTCTTCGACTCTTTGCGAGAATCTGCCCATTTTCCCACACCAGCTCCATATAATCTTGGTCGTTTAATCTGCAACAAATTAAAGAGTCACGTATGAATTAACAAGAAAAAGTAGTCACGTATAAACAAACATTAATTACTCCATGTACGTACATGATATCCATAAACTTACTTTGGTTTGAAGCCTGATGATGGAGAAACCATGTTCGGTTGAGATGATGATGATGATGGTGCTAAGGGCTTTTCTTCCATTGAAGTAACTTAACGTGCTTGATTAAAGCTTTATTCTACTTCTTTTCCGGGTTTTGTGAATTGTCGAATCAAAGAGATCGATTAAGAATTGACACTTTGGACTTCTTTCAGGGGGGGGGGGGTGGGGGTGGGGTA